AGTATATATATATATATATATATATATATATATATATATATATATATATATATATATATATATAAATTAAACTGAAAGCAAAATTTGATTTCAGAATTAAGCCAGATGGCTGTAAAGGCAAAGAAATATTATGGCCTGAAGAGTTGGATAATGAATTAAGGGCTCTTTATGACGAATATTTATTATTTGAGGAAAAACCTAAAGGTAAAAGGAAAAAATCTTCAAATCTTTTATTTACAATTTTTTAAGTCACTCTTTGGTAAAATATATATGGCATGATGAAAATTCTGAGTTGTAGATGTTGACATCGTTGAATACATCGAGCAAGGTTTGTCGCGACCTCGAACACGTCGACAAATTATTCGACAAATGAAGGTGCTTGGATTGAATACTTTTGGTACTAGGGGTACTAGAAGGTAAGGAAATTTGGTTTTTTGTGAAAAATTAAGTCAATTCATTATATTTCTTTGTTTCTTTTTAGGTTTCTTAAATTTCTTAAAAATTTCCCTAAAAAAAATATAGTATATTGTCTCAATTAAAGCATTTTTTAACAACATATATCTTTTCAGGAAAAAATTGAAGTAATCGATTAAAATAAATTATAAGTAAAATACACAACCTCTCTTAACCATTCTTTTTCATAGAGATGTGGAGAGAGGAATCAAGTCATCAGTTTTTACACCAGAAATCGTCAGCCAAATGCATAACCTTATCAACGAATTTAATTCAAGAACGCCTTCTTCTCGACCAGGTTCGATCTACTGATGTTTAAAGAAGACTATAAGCAATTCTGTTTGAATCCAGCTTAGTGGACTGTTTTTTTTCGCAAAGTGTCAAATAGTGTACGAAATCTGAATAATCCGTTATTCTTATTTCTTAACCTTTCCTATGGTATAAAATCTCGAACATTGGGAGGATAGTATATTTGTGAAGGTTCCGCAAGCCTCACTCAATTTTAATAGAATCATCATTCAAAGTTAAAATTTAGGTGAACGCCACAATACGGAAAATGTATGAAATTAATCGATATGTGAACGTCTTTAACGGGTTACAAAAAGCTCCTGAATATTTGACAAGTTCAAGAAGTGTTGAATATAGTATCAGATCATTGCTTTTTCAGATGATTTGGTTAATTTCATTCGTAATAATCTGCCAGAAAAATACACAAGAGCAAAAATTATCAAACAACTGCAATATGAGAGTATACATTACGAACCATCAACAAGAAAGAAGTAAGGAATTGAATAATTATTTTCAATACTAATAGCACGTTTTAAAATACATTTTTGAAAATTTGATTTTGAATTGGCTCATAAATAAATCTTTATTTATTTGTGGATATTATATATGGAAGAAATAATGTAGTTTGAAAGAGATTTGTTTCAACCCTCAGTAAGTACGTTGTTGTGAACCTGCAGGATATTGGAAAGCTTCCTGTTTTCTCTCCAAATTAACGAATAAAGAATAACGAACGTAATAGGAAAAAGTAAAGCAAAGAAAAAACATTGCTTAAACATTTCCGAAGAAAATAGATTTAGGATTTGAATTAAATATCTGAATCATTTCATGCAACTATCCTACTATTCATTTTATCATATTGCGTGTTGGTATGCTGGCTATTGTTATACGTACACCATTTTATTGCTATTTCCTTATCGCAATATTGTAATTAGTTTTTCAAATTAAATTTTGACATAGTTAAAGCATGTTGGTCTAAAGTAAAATTGTTAGTATCAGTGAAACATCAATTTAGGCGTTCAAAAGCATCGCAAAAGCTAATTGGACAGGGAAAATCAGGTGAAGAAAAGACTGATGAGCTTTTCAAAGGTCTGTTTTTTTTCTTCGAAGGTCTTTTTTCCATTTATTTTTTTCTTGAGGCTTAAATTCTCTTGGAATGACTACAACTTCAGGTTCAGTCATGCTGGGATTTGGCCATCCTTGTCAACGTGACAATGAATGTAAAGAAAGACAGTAAGTATCATATATTATCACAATTAGTTTCAACAAAGAACTTTTGAACTCCAGCAATTTCTTTCGGTTTCCTCCTGATCTCAGATCTGAAATATAGAAAAGACTCATTATTTCATTTATCTTCAGAAAACGAAATAAAAATAGATCAACCACGCGAATTTCACCAGAAGTAAGCTTGTTCGCATTTTTCCATTGCTATTGTATGATCAGTTGATTAGTGATTAGTTGGTTTGGACGCACTGGCATAAATTAAGTTTATTACTATGCAACAGTTTATTACTACGTAACCACTGCGACTAATGACAGTAAAAATCCGGTTGAAACTGTAAACATGAAATTTGATTCCGTACGGAAAAATTCGCCGAACTATTTATTCGCTAATTGCTGAAATAATACTACTGGAAATTATCGTTAAATATCATTTCAGTTGTTGATAGTACTACAGATAAACTACAGGAATTCATTCTCACAGAATTAGTTTTTATTTGGAAATTTTCAAAACTTTTTCCTCCGTGTCAGAATTTGCTTGCTTCTTAACTAACTATATAACCACTAGGATTGATGACAGTAAAAGGTCGGTTGTAACTGTGAACAGGTGTCAAATGGTAAACTTTTTTAAGGCGTCAGACCAAAAAAATATTGAATTCCTTATATTCCGGAAATTTTTATGGATTTGAATTTTATTTGATATACTTTTCAGGAGGATCTTAAATCCGACGACGGCATTAACGATTCAAATATTTTTGGATATACAAGTCCTAAATCAAACGGAAATGCTGGAGTTGATGAATCATTTACGATTTATAAAACGGAAAGTATCGTTACAAATAACAGCGATGACGAGGTTGATCCAGATCTAAATTTAAATTTCGAGTTTGACATTTAAAGCAATCGAATTTTAGATAACGCCGTGTGTTTTTAAAGGATTCCACAAATTATTAATAACAGTTCAAATCTAAAATTTTCTTCTTAACTGAAACTACTACTTCCATATCTTTTAATTGAACCCAGGTCATACTTGGGAAACGGGAACGATCGATGGCTAGCGACGCATTGCTCTCCGACGACGATAATATCATTACAAAAAAGACGCACAAAAAGCGGATTATCGGAAGCGACTCTGAATAAATCTTTAAATTATATGTTTCATTTTGTTAGACAAAAGGCACTCTGAAATAAATGCTATGTATTAATTTGCTGCTTTCACTATTACAAATTTTAGATTTGATTTCACTTTCCTTTTGCAAGCAACTTTATGTTTCGTCGCATATGACTTTTTCTGCTCTCACTAAATACTATTTATAGGTCACTGTGTTGGGGACATAGTGAACTAATATCTGTCTGACCTTCCAATGTTTGCCGCTTTCGACGAAAAAAAATCCAACCCTGAAACAAATTTATGGACACAACTATGCCTGTGAAGTTGCTGCTCTCACCATTCCTCATACTTAGCTATCGATCCTTCATACCGTTTCGCAATTCTTCCTTCCCTACTCTTTTCCACTCTTCAACCTTGGCTCTTTCATTCCTTAACCTTTATCATCTTCAAACCTCCATTAATGTACTCTAGGCTTCGCTTTTTTCCATTATTTTGTGATAAGTGCAAGAAGAGAAACGTACACCTTAGAAGCAACCAATTTACTTTCCCCATGGAACTTTAAATGGAACTCTACAAAACAAACAATTTAAGTTGCAGTTGAATTTTAAGTTTCCTTTTGTAAAACACCGTACATCTGCAATCACCATGACCATATACAAGCATACGAAACTTGTATGACGGAAAATAAATGAATCTTTGGAGGAAAATCTACTGAACGAAACAGATCTGTTTTATGAAACCGAGTGGCGAAAATGGAAAGAACTTCCTTGAAATATGATGTATGACAAACAAAAACGACTGTGAGGACAAGAATGAGAAACCTTCCAAATGCTCAACAGACTGGGAAGGTAAGCACTGTGATTATCAGATTTTACGGATTCCGTTTACGCAAAGATGAATTACCACTAAAACAAAACCTCAAGAAATGAAAAATATAAATCAGAAACAACAATGTAGTTATTACGAATGCTTATTAAAGCTTAACATTATGTTTAAAAACGAGAGGAAACTTCGAACCACTTTCAAATACAACAGAACAAAATATTTCAGTCAACCCCACACTAAAATTTTCCTCCACTTTTCAACATAAATTCCGGAAACATAGGGAGGAAATAGGGCCAACAAAATAAGAAGGGTTCTTCGATTGTTCTGACATCTCACTGGGGACCGTGTATGTTCTATCGCAATACAACGTGAAGTCTTGTTGTGAATGAACGCACACAGCACGTAATAATTTAACCAGAACTTTAAATGAACGCTTTAGATCATAAAATTCAAAACTTTCTATAACTTTCTGGAAAACATGAATCCAGGCATCCTGGACAAATTAACTTCAATTTGTTAAAAACGGAGAGGTTTTTGAGCATCTACACCAATGATAGCGACAAGCGACGCCGTCCATAATAACGGTGCTGACGGTGGCCGAGTACTGATGTGATACTTACAAAGTAAACAAATACTAATCGCCAGCTCAAAGCATACATGGAAAAAAAAGAGTGATTCAAAGGGATGACTGCAAATCAGTACGGATTTTCTGGCAAAGGATGAAGCAGATATCATTTATTGAATTAACAGGACTGAGCTTCATGATAAATTGATGATAGTTGGGGAAAGCACAATATATTCAATTTTCAGCTGAAAAACAAACCATTTAAAGCTAAAATGATCCTCGGTATTTCAGTGCAGAATTCTTCTGGTCTAAAACTGTAAGCCTAACAAGTCCAGTCGAAACTTTACTCAGTAAATCATCAATGAAAAAAGGTCGAAAGATGATTAACGGGATCAACAAAACACCTATGTCAGTGTATTCTATGACTATTCTAATTTTCCATGGAAAGTATAAAAACAGCATTCTGGATCCATATACCTGAGTCGGAGTAACTTATTGTTCAGACGGCTTTGTATTTGCAATAGGACGTTCATTTTCTTTGCTCTCGCCATCAGAAGTTACGTGAATATTGTTTTCAGCTTCACCATTTATGGCATCAACGTTACGAGCCCCCCGACGACCCCTGCCTGAAACTTACACATCAGATGGTGTTAATCTCTCTGCTCAAGATTTCTCCGTCAATCCCTTTTTTTTAAAAAAAAAATCCATACCACCACGACCGCGTCCTCGGCCAGTTTTCCGTGGTACATTTTCACCGCCTAACTGGTCCTCTGTTGTGCCTTCCTGACGGTCACCTTCCGATGCGCGGCGACGCTGTCCACCACGACCACGTCCTCGTCCACGGCCGCGACCACGTCCACGGCCACGGAATCCTCCACGTCCGCGTCTCCCGCCCTGAAAACACCTTCCGGCCTTAAACAAAAAACACAACTATTCCCAAATCACTAAATCAAGATCACATGGTCACGATGTTCTACAGCCCTTTCCTGCCGACATAACAGACAACTATTCAGAATTCCTCACTTCATCATTATCGCCATTTTCACCATCAGCTCTATCACCTTCAGAGTTTGCACGTCTCGCTCCACCTCTGTCCGGACGGTAAACACCATAATAGAAACGTCGACGATAAGCTCGTCCTCTTCCTCGCATAACGCTTTTATCGGCTGCATATCTCGAGCCTTCCACGTTACCACCATTTGGACCGGTGACATTTGCTGCTTCCGGGCCTTTCTGTCCCTCTACGACATCAAATTCCACCTAAAAACAAGAGTTCTATATCGAGTACCGTTATTAACCATGCAGATCTTTGAAAGCATCAAATTAATCAAATGACCATTTAGAAAGATAACTCACTGCTAAGGAAAATCCCCCCTCCACTATCTTTTATTGTCGAATTCATCAATTCAACAGACAATGACAATAAACAAATGAAACTAACTTTTTCGCCATCGCCTAGTGATCTCAAATACTTGTTTGGATTGTTCTTTGTGACAGCCGTTTGATGAACGAAGATGTCATCGCCTGTATCAGCGCGGTTTATGAACCCATAGCCGTTCTTGACGTTGAACCTGAGAAAAGTTCTATATATATATATATATATATATATATATATATATATATATATATATATATATATATATATATATATATATATATATA